TGAGCGTCAGTTAGGGAGACGTTACAGTACATGCGCTTGCTTCGAATTCACCGGATAACTGGTTTTCGACGAGGATACTCGTCGTGACAAAAAATGTTGCCGTTTCTTCGTGGCGAGTACACAAAAACAGCTAACTGTGGTTAACTGTAACAATAATTATATAAAAATACAATGTGTGTAGTTTAACAGTGTAATAAAAAGTATAACAATAGTATGATCAGCTGTAACAATAATCACATAAAAATATAATTAAATAAGGATGTATACTGTCATATTCTTTACTGAATTGCACGTATTTAAACGAAATATGAAGAAAATCAAACGTAGCTGTATCTATAATTGCAGCTAGCCGGTTAAAATGTTATTAATTACTTTGGAATAACCAGTAACGCTAAATCTATCATGCTAATCAAAATCACCGGTTTTACACTTTTTATTTTAAAATTGTTGAAGTAATATTGGCTTTTTAGTAGACGATGATCGAATACATTTCTTAATCCCACCGTACATTATCTAATAAAAGTAGCGAAACAGTCTAGATAAATTTATTTTAAATATTTATTTATATTTATTTATATTTATTTATATTTATTTAAATATTTAGCTTCATATTAAAGATTGCTTTAAGCAGCACACACGTTAGTCGCATACGGAAAATGTGCCGATCTTTCTTCTCGCATAAGAATTTATGCGCCAATCAACCCAACTGTGAAATTAACAATCCATCGTTCTTCCATCTTATCAGAAGAATTTGCGATTCATAATTTGCGTTATAAAAAAATTGGATCTTTTAATTCCTTGTTTCTGCTGTATTATATACGTATAGATATTTCAGGATGTTTCTGTTCTGCTATGCGTAGACTCTTGTTTTTTGTAGCGATTGCAGAATCAAGGGGATGATTTTCTTAGCAAGTTTCTCAATGTTTTCGCGGAAGCCGCGGGATCGCCGAAATTTTCGAGAAAGAGAGAAACGACGGAGAGTGTCGGCGTTGAAAGCCGGCGACGAGGAAGCGTCGTTAATAATTACGGGGGAACGTTGCGGAACGAAAGCCGATTCGCCAAATGCGACCTGCCGCTTGTCGCGCCACACGGAATAGTTAACTCTTGTGGACTTGTCAGCGGCTCTGCGCACAGTCGCTCTCCGCAGCCACGCGACAAACAAGTGCTCCATAATAAATGCACGTTTACGGGACTTGTTGCGTTTTTCCGGGCTCCCGAGCTCAGCCAGCTTTTAGACCAGACGGTTTCCTTGTGCCAATTTGGCGCGCGATAATCTCGGACGTTTTATAACGCCGATTTATTATCTCTGAGCGACTCGAAAGATAATGAATTATAGGCGTAATGAGTGAACAACACAGTCCTCCCCTAAAAGTTGACGAACGGTTCCCGAATTATATGAGAATACAATTTTTATATAATAATTATAATATTAATTATAATAATTAATACAATATTATAATACAATTTTCACATTTAACCCTTTGCACTCGAGTGACGACTCCAAGGCGCCATTGAAAATTGTTATGTCATGTTTCAAAATAATTTTATTAATAGAATTTGTTTATATTTCGAAGGGCTTTTAAGAGCGTAAACTGTTGTATGAGTCACAAAATTCCATTTCATATGTATAAAATGCGCTAGGTTATATGAAATGGAAATACTGCAGGTTGGAAAAATTATTTTAAATTTTGCGTTAATTTGACTTCGAGTGCAAAGGGTTAAATATTGTAGATCTATTGTGCACCTATAATTGACTTGGAATTGTTATTGTGATTAAAAAAACAGTTCTATTCATTGATCCTTCGACGTGTTTTCACTAAATCTGATGCTACACTCTTTCAAAAATAGCTATAATTATCCAGATATGCTAGAATTCTGTCGAGGAATATATGGACATAGTTACTAATATCATTTACTTACGATAATATTATTCAAGGGATGAAATGACGATCATTTTAACAAACATGCAAGTTGAGAGCAAGTTCATTCACTGAACTGGTTATTCTAATTTCGCTTAAAGCCAGATGAAACAAATATATTTTCATAATTCACAAATACATTTTCATAAATAAATGCATTTCCTTCACAGTTATAACTATACCGTAGATTTTTATACAATATAAAACTTATCTTCATTAACTGAAAATTTCTTTCTTTATTTAATAATCTCAGCGAGTTGAAAATGATACGTCCTTAAATTCTATTATATATATAATATTTCAAATGAAATGTCGCCTACCAATTTTTATTATACTGCATAAAATCCGCAGTCTAGTTATGACGAGTAACTTTCTCGATTGCAATAATGAGACTGCGGATTTCATGCATTTATAATGAAAATGGTTCGGTGACATTTCAAACAATGAAAATATTAAAAGAATTTAAAGACATATATGTATTACTTTGAACTCGCTGAAATTATCAAATAAAGAATACAATTATCCTTTGGCTCGTCTCTCTTGTTTACGACAAATAGAAATTTTCCAAGACGATTATAAGAAAAGATTATAATAAAAGATATAATTAAAAGATAAGATTATAATAAAATAAAAATGGTTCGGTGACATTTCAAACAATGAAAATACTAAAAGAATTTAAGGACATATATGTATTACTTTGAACTCGCTGAAATTATCAAATAAAGAATACAATTATCCTTTGGCTCGTCTCTCTTGTTTACGACAAATAGAAATTTTCCAAGACGATTATAAGAAAAGATTATAATAAAAATAAACTGCTTCTTTTAACAATCTTGTCAAGTCGAAAATAGTGTAACAATATTATTAAGTCTGCCTTACATCTCTACAATTTTATAGTTCAGTTTAATGATAATTTCTTAGAAGAGAAAGAGAATTTATATTTATCGTGTACCTACGTTGACTTAATTGCTCGAGTATCAATGACAAGAGAACAGAATTATATTTATTTATAAAAAGAACGGAACAGCATACTTAACAGATAAATAAACTTAACAGATAAACTCACTTAACAGATAAATTAAACTTACTTAACAGATAAACTCGAATAACGATTTCTAAATCGGCATCGCTAGTCAGGCTCGTCGGAGTACGCCGAGGGTTGCAAGCCTTTTCGCGGATCGGGGGATGAATTGATTCGCCGGGTGTAGGCGAAACTCGCAGTTCAATTTACCCGGGCGACACTTGTTGCGTTCATTAGCTGGCAAATATTTCCCGAGGAAATATAAAAGGACGCCCGGAGTCTGTCGCGTTAATCTAATATTCGCAAACACGAGTCAACGAGTCCCTTGAAACTCGAAGGTTTGCAAAATGACGATGCGACGCGACACTTTGACGTCGCCTCGCTTCGATTTCCAGCGCCACTTTCCGACTTCTCCGGCTTTCTCCCGAAAACTGCCCTATGTGTACTTCAAAGTAAAATCGTCCGACGGGGGCGGGAGGCGACCCCGTAGTTCGGACTATCGCAAAAGGTTTGGTTACCTTAGAGAAGCCCGGGCAAATTGGAACCGCGTCGAGATCAATTTTGAAACTGCCACGAGGAGATACTTAATGACGCCTCCCTGGGAAACCGTGTCTCCTAATTGGGTCGCGCTGTTCCAATAGCTCAAGCCACCGCTCTTTATCTTCCTTAACACCGAACCTACCGAACCTTAAACGTAACCCGGACCGTGTCGTTTTACAAACAGGACAACATTGAATTTGTTTGGACCGAAGACATCTTTTTACTTTCGGCAATTGTCAAATAACAAACGTTCCTGTAGCTGTTATCGCGTTCTTTTTTTTCTTTTTCTTTTTTCCTTCTTTCTGTATGTAATTATTTGTACGTTATTTCTATGCTGATATCCCCGTCGGAGATTCAGTAGTGTAATAAAAAATAAATCTGAGACCGGTCTCTGATAATTAGACTGGAGGTTTTATGTATTTACGAAGTAAGTGAGTAGATGAAATTTTATATCCGGCAACAACGTTCGAGCTTTTTAATAATATTTTTATCTATCCAATTCGTTTTAACAATCGGCGATCTTTTACGAGAATTCATCGAGTTTTCGTGCCTCGTCGCTAGACTACGGATTTTTGTGCAAAATAAAAGTTGTCGGCATCGACTGGAAGATGCAGGAGCTTTACAAACACAAGGAAAATCTGAATGAATGGATTTTGCGTATTTTTACAATTCTTGAAATGACTTCACTGTTTTGTATTTCAAAGGCATAAAATTCGCAGTCTAGTCGTCATTATGTCTCTCGTTATCTCTATACTGATCCTTTGAAAAGGATTCTTTATTTGGCTAACATTTACATTAATTACACGGACATTTCCATTGGTGATTTTAATCAATTTAAAAATCAACTATACAGGGTGTCCCAAAATTATGGTATTTCCGAGAAATGAGGGATTCCTGAGGTGATTTGAAGCAACTTTTCCCTTTACAAAAATTTTCTCCGAGGCATCGTTAATGAATTATTCATAAAAAACACTGACCAATGAGAGGCGAGTTCGCTCGGCGCTAGGCGACCGGGCCAATGAGCGGAACCGAGCTCCATACGCTCGTTGACTCGGCCGCCGCGCGCCAGCAAAGCTCACCCCTCATTGGTCACTGTTTTTCGTTGATAACTCGTAAACGAAGCCGTGGATTGCAATTTCGCTAAGGAAAAAGTTACTTCAAATGATCTCAGGAACCCTTCATTACCCGGAAGTACCATAATTTTGGGACACCGTGTATATGTGATTTGTTTGCTTGCTATGCTTAGTATAATATAATCATGTCGCTTTCATTTTCATTTTTATTATTTCATTTGTACTATTATTATTACTATATTGAATTTGCATAGAAAAATTAAAACGGCATCTAGTTTATGGTAAACATTATAGCTTGTACTAAGCACTAAGATACTACTCAAGTTAAATTAAATTAAATATTGTTATCATGGACCCATCAAAATTAACCGTCTTACTATTAATCATCTTGCGAGAGTTGTAATAAAATCGACGATAACACCCGCAATGAAAAATCATGGTTTTCAGGAATCGGACAGCCTGGCAGTGTTCTCAGAGCTCCTTCGCTACACGAGCGTCCGCGAGCTGAGCCTGTGCAACGCCCGGTTGCATCTGGCGGTGCACGAGGGTCCTCTGGCGAGATTAGGGCGTCGCGACGACGCCGGAGCGGAGCTCCTGAGGGCCGCACCGCCTCCCGCCTGTCCCGCGATTGTGTTCCTCAGGCTAGCCGGTTTTCAAGTAAGTAATCCGCTTTCGGACCGGCAACGTCTGTCCCTGCCGCGGATCGAAGTATGAGATGGATCCGCTTCCATTCCTCTTCGTTCTCCGACCGGAGTTTCGTAATTACGAATTAGATTGTTGGCCGTAACGAATCGACGAAACCGTGATTCCCCGGTGGCGGGACTTCCGACGGATAACACGGAGGACAACCCCACCCTTCTTAAGTATAAGCTTCCGCCCCGAGTTCCCGTGTCTTTCCCGCGATCATTGCAAATTGAACGAGCGACGCTCCGACGAGTTAAGACCGGCCGTGTCGGGCGGAGTGGCCTTCCGCGATTTTAACGGCGGCTGCGTGCTTGCAGTTTCATTTCGATGCTGTTTCATCTTTAGAGGAGCTCGTTCGTGTTCGGGATATTGGTTTTTAAGGGAATATTGTGGCTCGAAGAATTCGACGTTTAATCGTGCCTTTTTGAAGTATGCGATTTTAATGTGGCGTCTGCGAAAGGTTTTCTTCCGATTTTTAAAGATAACGAAGTTGTACTGAACCGGGAAAAAGTATTCGTATACCTTCCAAAAACGGTATAGCTTTTTTAAAACTGGACTAAATCATTTGAATGTTTTTTTTTGGAGATGTCAGAGGAATTGGTTTACCATACAATGACAGAAATACTTTTTTTTTCATTTTTGCTATCACTTGAAAATTGAAGTGACTAAAAAAATAATAAATAAAAAACTCACGTTTTTTCAACTCTTTTATCTGAGCCTGTGACAAAAATTAAAAAAATGCGTTTTGTAGATCTCGTTTGCAAGAAATCAAAACTTGTCCGACACAATCGGTTGTCATTCGAATACTAATGAATGAAATGTCATGAAATTTGAAATGAAGGCCTCTAAAGGATGGTTCTCAATAATGATATACACAATTTGATACTAGCCGTGACATCTCTGTCACTCGAGGGCCGTTGCTTTTAATTCCATGTAGTACTTCAATATTCTTTGTTAAATTACACACTTTATATAAAAATGTATTTATACAAAATATGAATATAAGAATATGAAAATATGAAGAAAATCATATCGTAAATGATCTTAATAATATAATTTCCTTATCTTAGTAATATATCTCTATATTTCTTATC